GATGTTAAAATGAAGCTATTTAACCTTAGCTTTGGCTGAGGCTCCAAGATAATAGAAGCTCTATTCCAACGTGAGATACGAGATCAGTACGGAGGACATCAATGGTTTTCATCCATGGACCATGTTTAGGGCATAAAAAGATTTTGAGAAGGACATTACATGGTGAGTAAGGGTTTTGGGTGAAAGCTGTTGGACCCTACATCCATGGAGACAGGGAGAGTTGACATGTCTTTGTTCACCTCAAACCAAGAAAAAGGGCTTCATTGGGACCATTGAGAGTTGGATATGTGTCCCTGACATCATTTGATGTAGCTGTCTGTTTTCTGTATTGCTTTTGCATTTTGTTTCTTATAAAATCCCTTTCCTACTCTCAAGGTTAGAAATATATTCTACTTTTCTTCTAATGCTTTTGTGATGTTTTAGTTGTTCAGGAATTTGGTTTGTCTAGAATTTTGTTTTCATGGTGTAAGAAAGTGAACTAACTTTACTTTTTCCCAAGTTAATTTGATTACTTTGATTTGGATAACAAATTATTTCAACACCATTCATTACACTCTGGTTTGAAAGTCTACCTTTATCATATACTAAAGCTGTAAATATTCGCTGATTGCCTTCTGAATTGTATTCTGCAGCATTGATCAACTTGTCCATTCTTTTTGTGTATATTTATTAGAATCCAATTGTGCTTCCATTTCACTAAGTTGAGAACCTCACACAAAGAATGGTATACCTACCACTGTGTATTTTCCAGGCCACTACAGGCAGAGGTAAACTCAGGGTCATGATGGTGGTAGCACCAGGTATCTGACTCAGCCCCCACTCACTAAGGCAGGCCCTAAACTTGCACTTTTCCTGACCCCTCTGCTCAGAATTCTCAGCATCTCTGGAAAATACCTCCCCTCTGCTCCAGAGAGACTTCTTTGTCTAACAACTGACACTTTCCACTCCTGCTTCAACATCCCTAGGGAATGCCTGATGCTGTTTCTATGAAGCTAACACACTGCACCCACTCCTCCATCTCTTACCTTCACACCTGGGTGCCACATTGTTGCCCCTTCCAAGAATACTTCCTTACTCACTGAATGTCTTCTGGAGGGCTCAGTGACTTGGCCCTTTCTGTTTTTTCTCACTTCTTTTTGCAGCACTGCCTTCCTTGAATCAGGCATAAGATGATGGGACACCAGTGCAAGACTCTTGGAGGGATGGATGCAATGAGACACTCCTGTAATTCTTGTCCACTGTCCAGCAGACAACGCCTGTTGGTTCTACACCCCTCATCATCCAGACATGTCTAGGACACTCATATATGCACAGCTTCAGTTCTCATAGCTGAGACATCTGCTTTCTGCCACAAAGTTTACAGGGACAAAACCATGGGTCTACTCATCTCTACAACGGGGTAATGCTATGTTCTTTGCAAGGCTTTTGTGAGAGTTAATGAGAGCTCATTGTAAGGGCTCAATAGTTGCCTCTTACCTTTCCTTCCCCACTGAATTAGGTCAACACCCAGATGAAGCGCCACCTCTTCTCTGAAGCTTTGTCCACTATGTCACTGTGCTAATACACAATGATCTCTCCATATTGAATTTTATCTATGTCTGGCCTTTTATTTTTTCTTTAGGGAAAGATTTTTATTTTCGGACAATAGATATTTAAATCACAGTATCATGGACTCTGGCTTAGCTACACCCATCATCTCGTGAATGTCTACGGAAACTGAATTAGGAGCACTCCAGAGGGCTGGCCCTGGATTATTCCACAGCTTCATTTAATTATAACCATCAAAGTTAATGAGAGTCATAAACTCTTTCATAACATACCAATGGACTGTGTGATTGGAGGGGAACCTGGACATTTCGTTATAAAGCTAGCATATCAGAAAAGACACAACTAAACACCTTTTCTCTTATGAAGAAAAAGACACAGAAACATAATTTGGTGACATTTTCACACTTGCTAAAATTAACTTTCAGTCAAAAGAACAGTGGAGTTGTTAGCTTTATTTTCTGATAAAATTTTAATCTCAGGTTGGATAAGCAATTTTGTTTGCCATTAAGTGTGAGACTACTTGAAGTAAAGTCATGTAGACAATAGGGCATTATATAGAAAGGATAAAAAGGTTAACAGAAAGAAAGATCAGAAAGAAAATGAAAAGAGGAATAATTGTGTCAGAAACTTGGTAAATTGGTATATTAGGGTTCTCTGTATTGGTTCCAGAGAACCAATAGGAGAGATAGATAAGAAGGTAGATGATAGATAGATAGATAGATAGAGGTACAAATATAAAGAGATGTATTATATGGAATTGGCTCATGCAATTTTGGAGACTGACAAGTCCCAAGATCTATAGAGTGAGTCAGCAAGATGGTGACTCAGGAGAGTAGATTAAGTATTTCTAGTCTGGGGGCAAGCGAAGGTCAAGGTCCCAGCTTGAATGCAGTCAGGCAGAAGAAATTGTCTCTTACTCAGGACAATCAGCCTTTTTGTTCTATTCAGACCTTCGACTGATTGGTTGAGGCCCACCCACATCAGGGAGGAAATCTGCTTTAAGTAATCTACTAATTTAAACGTTCATTTCATGGAAAACACTTTCACAGAACTACCCAGATTAATGTTTAACCAAATATCTGAGCATCCCCTGGCCCAATCAAGTTGACACATAAAATTAACCATCATACCTGGCAAATATATAATAGTCCCCATATTGGGACTTCTGGATCTACATCTGTATGTGTCTCTATGTGCGTGTATAGCATTTAAAAAATGTTGGGCTTCCCTGGTGGCGCAGTGGTTGAGAGTCCGCCTGCCGATACAGTGGACACGGGTTCGTGCCCTGGTCCGGGAAGATCCCACATGCTGCGGAGCGGCTGGGCCCATGAGCCATGGCCGCTGAGCCTGCGCATCCGGAGCCTGTGCTCCACGATGGGAGAGGCCACAACAGTGAGAGGCCCACGTACCGCAAAAAAAAAAGAAAAAAAAAAAAGAAATGTATTCTTCTCACCTGTTTTTAAAGCTTTGCTCTTGGATTCTTGAAATGCCACCATAGATTTTTTAAACTGAGGTCAAATTCAGATAACATAAAATTAACTCTTTTAAAGTATACAATTCAGTGGCATTTAGGATACTCCCAATGTTGTGCAAAAATGACCTCTATCTAGTTTCAAAACATTTGTATCACCCCAAAGGGAAACCCTATGCCCATTAAGTAGTCATTCCCATGCTTACTTCGGCAGCACTTATACTAAAATTGGAACTATACAGAGATGATTAGCATGACCCCTGTGCAAGGATGACATGCAAATTTGCAAAGCATTCCATATTTTTATTAGCATACTAAGTGAAGTAAGTCAGAAAGAGAAAGACAAATACCATATGATATCACTTATATTTGGAATCTAAAATATGACATAACTGAACTTATCTATGAAAAGGAAACAGAGTCACAGACATAGAGAACAGACTTGTGGTTGCCAAGGGGGAGGGGGATGGGGGAGGGATGGACTGGGAGGTTGGGGTTAGTAAATGCAAACTATCACACATAGGATTGATAAACAACAAGGTCCTACTGTACAGCACAGGGAACTCTATTCACTATCCTGATATACACCATAATGGAAAAGAATATGAAAAAAGAATTTATATATATCTGTAAAAAAGTAGTAAATCTCTGACATTCATAGACTAAAAAAAAGTACTCATTCCCCATTTCCCCCTTTACCCAGCCTCTGGCAATTATTAATATACTTCCTGTCCCTATGGAGTTTCCTATTCTGTTACAACACCAGCCCACTTTATAGGGAAAGATGCAGGTGAATGACAACGCTTGGGAGCCAAGATTCCATTGTTCTCCTCTGTTGGGGAAAGCCTGAAGCATAGTCTAACGATGTGTAAAGTGAAATTTCTTTCTGATTGAGTCATCCCCTTCTGGATACAGAAGATAAAAGAGAACAGCGTCATTCTGTGCTGAAAATGTACAGTGCATGGTGATTACATCATCCATCAGGAGGCTGTGAATCTGTTGATAAGGTGAAAGCAACTGATAATCACACTAACACGACACAATACAAGAAAGCATGATGGAGGGGGCTGAGGCTGTTTGGGACATACAGGTAAGCTCTAAAGACTCAGCAATGGACCTTAGAGACCTCACAGATCCCCCTAGGACAGCCAAAGACAGGAATCCTACCAGCTTGCCTGGACTACTGCATGGGAAATCCATCTCCACCTTGGGTCTCCCATCATGCAATACAGAATTTATTACTTCACCGCATATACTTTTTCAAGAGAAGGTGATTGGTCTTATTTTTCTCAGCTCTTAGGAAATTGGTGGGAACAAGTGATGGCTTGAGTGCCTCATTGCCTGCAGTCTTCCCCTCCCTCCTACAACCCAATGGCATGATTCCCCAGTTGCCAGTGCAGAACTCTAGTGTTTTTGATGTGGCAATGCTCCCACAAGAAGCAGTGTTGATTAGAGAAAAGAGCAGTAATAACAGTACCTCCACCTACTGATGACGTACTGTGTGACAGGCTGAATGTTTCCATTCATTCTGCACCAGAAGGCAACTATAAAGATGAGTCCAAGGAAAACCAAATGTCATTAAATTCAGCATATAAAATTGCACCACTGAAAACTTTCTCATGAACCAAGAACATACCACACTTAGGGATAGAGTGCTGTAATTGAAGTCTCTCATTCATAGATTGCCCTCTTTTTTCCAGAGATGTTTAAGCAAACCTACAAGTTCATTTATACTAATGCCTTAAGGACTGAATTCAAAAGGATCATTTTTGCATTCTCAGAAGAGAGTCAGATCCGTTTCAGTGGGCCTGGGAGTTTTCATCGGGCTAGTGATCTCAGTGAACATCTTTCATGTGTGCTGATTTATCAGATACTGCTTAATTTAATTTTCAAAACACACTGTTTTTCAGATGAAGAATCAGAGGTTCAAGGAGGTTAAGTGAATCAGCCTAGATCTCACAGATAGCACATGTCAGGGTCGGTCTCTAAGCCCACGGTCTGGGGGCTGTCCTTCCCCACAAGTCTGGCTGAGCAGCCCTTCTCAGGAAGGATTGGTCTAGCTCTCACTGACCCCCCAGGCCAATTCCAAAGCCATCCTTTCACAGCCAACTGCAAATAGCATCAAGAGGTTGAGAAAACCGCATTGAAGCATCTGACCTCCCAAGGGCAGCCCTTGGTTCTCCCCAGCTAAAAGCCTCATTTTCCAGGTCTACTACTTTGAGTTGGATTGCAGAACTAGTTGAGGTTAAAACAAGAAAATTCATGCTCCACAATCAAATAAGATCAGATGATCCAGAAGACTTGAGAAATAAAGCGAGGAACCACACTTACTGGGTAACAATTGACAAAAACCTTTGAGCGGGGCTTTGGCCTGCATTTCCTAATAATTCAGGCAGAACTGAGTAACTCATGATGCATGGAGAGAACCATCTTTCTCAGAAAGCGTTTCCAATTTTTGCAGAAGCATTTAACTAACTTGCAATTTTTAAAAATGTGCTCCAAAGCACGTCGTTCAAATTAATTTTTGAATGTTGAGATCAGCCTTCTTTTGGATCTGTGAGAGATGCTCCATATAGCACAGGATGTTAGAGTGGTACTTTCTTCTCAGGTCATGGGAAGACATTTCCTATGAGCTTCTAGATGACACACATGTCAGAAAGGGTGTTCATCAACTTGCCAGTGTTCCTTTATGGTCACTAGAGAGCTGCCTCTTTCTTTTGATCTTTGAGAAATATATTGTGAAATATTTCTGACATATAAAACTATGGAGAAAATAATATAATAAATGCAAGCGTATCCATCTCCCAGCTTAAAAAATAGAACTGTGCAAACATACTTGAATCAGCCTGTTTTCCCCATCCCATTCACTCTTGGGGATGTCCATCATACCTGGGCATGTCTTATACTTTTACCAAAATCCTGTACAACTAAGCAATACTGAGTATCATTTTACACAATTACACATTACTTAAACAGTGCATCAATGACATTGTTCACAATGTATTCTTCTGAAACTCTTTTCACTCAACAATATGCATACAAGAATCATCCAAGTTGAATGAACCTTGAGATTATCATACTAAGCGATGTAAGTCAGACAAAGACAAATACCATATTATATCAGTTATATGTGAAATCTAAAAAATAGTACAAATGAATCTATTTACATATATATGTGAATCACTTTGCTGAAACTAACACAATATTGTAAATCAACTTTAATTTAAAATTTTTTTTAAATAAATTCACCCTCAAAGGAAAAAAAAAAAAAAAAAAGAATCTTCCAGGGCTTCCCTGGTGGCACAGTGGTTGAGAGTCCGCCTGCCGATGCAGGGGACACGGGTTCATGCCCCGGTCTGGGAAGATCCCACATGCCGCAGAGCGGCTGGGCCCGTGAGCCATGGCCGCTGAGCCTGCGCGTCCG